AGTATTATCAACCACCCCTAATTACCAAAGCACGTACCAACTAGAGTGCCCCAAACTAATATAAATACCATTATAATCATACTTTTAAAATAACCACTAAGCCTTAATAAAAAGAAATCAGAGATGAAGTGGCTCAGAAAAGCCATTTTTTAAAATTCAGATCAAAGTGAAATGTTGCCTCTTCATTCTTATTTGTAATGAAAAGAAACTGAGCATGAAGATCTGCTCTTTTTTACTAGCTCTACTTCTTAACAAGTTACTCTTCATCATTATAGGCAGCAGTTATAGGTAGGGTACCTCTTTCAGAGGACTGGGCAACGTTTAATTTTGCATTATTAAATGAAAAGAGAGGGCAAAAAAGTGAGGTATCACAGAATAGCAGAGCGAGAGGATTTCTAGTTATGCCACCTCAAAAAAGAGACTCTTACTTATAGGTAGTAACTATATCTGCAAGGGTAACATGCCACCTCAGTAGTGTGAATATACCGAGATTTGTGTCTTAGCTGTGCTTGCACTTAGGGCTCCCTTCGTCATGCACAAGGGAGGGGGCTAACATGATGAAAAATGTGGGCCGAGAGATAAATGTAGTGTATTACTGCTTAACAGGGATTAAAGCTTCCCTCACACACGGAACAGAGAGTTTACAGCAGCCTCTTATTACTGGGTGAAGGTCATTAATAAGGTCAAAAGTATGAATGCATCTTTGTGCAAGTAATTCAGCAGTCTTCTTCCAAATGCAGTTCAGTAATGAGTTATGGTAGGAAGGGAGAAGAGCCTTGGGTAGCAGTTATGCCAATGTATAAAAAGACTAATACATGTAAGTAGCTAGAGAGAATAATGTGATGATAAATTAACGTAGTGAAGATCTCCATGTGCATCTATCAAGCCTATGTACAGATTTAATTTTATGTGATCTATTGTTGGTCTGTGCAGTAATTATACAAAACTGGGAAGAGCCTTGCAAACTACTTATTCCATTCCTTCGGCAACCTTCATTGTGCTACCTGCGTATGGTTATTGTTTCAGAGAAGTCTACTTTCTATCATCATCAGCAGAGTGCCCCTTCCTTTTGGTTTTTTGCCATTATAAATAATAGTAAATCCTGATGATTCGGTTGACAAATACTTTCTTGTTCCAAACTAGTTCTAAGGTCTTTTGAAAGGAGCAATATGTGTAATAGCAGTTTGGCATCTGTTTTAGGAATGTATTTTTAGTCAGTACGATCGCTTGGAAAATTTACACCTTCTTGTATCCTGCCCATTATATCAAAACACCTTGCATCTCCATCCTTCTACTACCATTTAGCTAAGAAGGTAGAGTAAGAAATAACCTCTCAAGGCATCTTCAATGTTGCTGCCACAACCAAGCAGGAGGCTGTGGAGAACAGGAGGTGATGTTGGGCAGTATTATTGTATGGCTGGGTTGCGGGAAGTTACACCTGCAGCTGAACCCAAGACAGTACTTTAATGTCTAAGGATTTTGTAAGGCTTGTTGGCTTGCCAAAGCTATTATGGAGAGTTCATTCAAATGCCAGCAATTAGGCAATGAAGGTAGATATGGGTTCTTGGCTAAAGAGTGTTTTGTTTTTCTGGCCCTTACTGAAAATATGAAGCAGGAAGGCTGAAGTCACCAAAAACAAGAGACTGCAGTAATGTGCTCCTAGAAAGTGTGCTAGGACCCAACTTCAGAGGATCCAGAAGGATACCAGTAGGAAGTCTGAAGTTGCATCTACAGTAAGACTTCCCTGCATTTGGCAGTGTACCGAGGGCACCTCCAGATTTACATTAAATGACTTCCTTCATCGGTTGTTAAATTGTAAGTAATAAAATTAAAGTTTGTTAACCAAGTCTCCAACGAAGCCATGGCAAATGAGTATTACCGCAGCTAGCTTCAAAGAGCAGCTACTCTATGTGGGGACAGGGTCCTTGTAATGAAAGAGCAGAGCAAGAGATACGGGAGACGGTGAGCCAATATAACACTTCCACATAGGATGTCTGGTGACTGTGGCTGTGACTTAGGGGTTGCACTCAAATTCATAATGAGGTCATTAATTATCCTTATTCTGGGAATGAGGTTGTGCTAAGCATACCTGTGTACAGAGGATAAACTACTGAGACTCACTTTTAACCGGAAGAGAGGAGGCTCTAGCAAGCCACGCAAACCCAAGGGAATCATTCTACTCGATGCCAACTCTCACGCTTGATGCTGTGAAGTGACGGGAAGGGTACCTTCACTACAGAAGGAAAAACCATCATCAGAGATGATACAGAGAGGTAAAATGGAGTGCCATGAACACTTGCTCACTTAGGCCACAGAAATAGCCAAGGCTAGGACTCACTACAACTGGAGCTAAAGCACTGAATAAAATATGCTCCTTTGTTCTTCCCTCTCTTGGCAGATTGATTTAATACTTCTATTGTAGAAACACTGTTATAATTATAGAGTGCACACTTAAGAAACACCACACACACACCTCGTTTTGATTAAAGGAAATTAGAAGCCCTTCACTGCATTAAAAAGTAATACACCCAAATATTTAGACTGCCTACTAATCCCCTTGAAAGCCTTCCTCCCTTTCTCCTACAAACAACAAACCATGATTGTTTTTCAGCAAAACAATCTGACAGCCTAAAGCCAGCTTTAGAGCCTGACTTAAGCAAATGCTATACATTCAACTCTTGGTTTGAAAAATATTGTAAGAGACAGAAAGGCATCAGCAAAAAGCCTGGCCATCCGCTTAAGAAGCTTTATATTTCCAAACTATTTCCGACACATTTGCAGGACTTTCCTATTACGTTCACTTATTTGACTTCAGTGGGCTTCACCCACACACATTCCTCAGCTTGCAGCTCTAGCCATTATTTAAAACTAAAGCAGATAGACATGTAAAATATTTGTAAATGCTGTCAGAGGTTACATGCAGGCTTTCAACTCATTATATTAAATCTCCATCACTTATTTGTCAGTCGCATGAATTTCTCTTCAGTAGTTGTGGTCTGGCGTAACATGGCAGAGCAGCATAACTCTTGGAAGTGCAGAGAATATGGTACAAATAAATCAGCTTTACAGCACTGGGGCTGAGGCAGAGAACTTAATAATGAGGATGATGCATATATGTACTTAAAAGTGGCAAGTAGCTGGTTTCAGCGTGATGATTTTCCTCCAAATTAATTTATTTGTGTTAGTGCCAATCACTGTTAATTGCTCAATGTGGGTGACTTGCTTCCTTCCTTAAAAAATGCTTTTATTTCAGAATTCTGGTTCAAAGCACATTTTCATCAAAACACCTAAGTTTTGGTCTGCCCGGTTTAAATGAATTGATATCTGCAAGTGAACTGTTTTTAAAGAAGCCATTTCTACGGGGAGAATATACAGATCAAGTTGGCCATAAAAAGAGTGTCAGGGAAGGGGACTGGTAGTCAGGGCTCATGGTTCTCTTTCCTAAATTTATCGTCCTTGGCAAATAACTAAAACCTCCAAAGCAGGCACTATACCTTCTCTGTGGAGTCCATCCCACAAAAAATTATTCCTGTACATAACTTGTCAGCTGACAATGGGATTACTCACATTACATCCATTTGAACACATGCAGTTGGTTGCAGAACTGGGATCGATCTTGGAACAGCACACCTCACGACTGGGCACCACATGGTAGATCACAGCTTTGGGACCTTACCAGCAAATGAGGTTTACTAATAATAATTGGCCCAACTTTTTCAAACCAAGGTATCACAGACTGGGCACAAATTCCAGATCTCAATACTTAAATAAGAAGTGGCCTGATCTTCAGAAACACCACGTACTCCGGCTTCGCAATGTCTCCAGTGCTACGCAGGACCCCCTAATGCTGAGGAGTCAGCAACAGACGGTGATACAAGCATCTGAAGGAGAGTGACTAATGAAGCCACATTTTATTCATGTTACAGCAAGTTTTCTGGAAGTCTTCAGCATCGCCCACTAGTGTACGATCTAGAGGGCATGAGTTTTGCTAAATGCATCCCATGATCTTACAAGGATAAGAAAAATTTAGTCCTACATTTTGTAGAAAATCTGAGCAGAAAGAAGCAATGCTGATTCATACAGTGCCTTGGTCATACAAGGCATTTTATGGAAGACATACAGCATGCAAAACTAAAAATAAAATGCCTAAGTGTTCAGGTTTGAGAGGAGCGGTGACAGTCTCAGTAACTTTACCCAAGGAGATCTGGAGAGAAACCACCAACAAAGAGTCCCTTTAGACCCTAGGGATAAGCACCCCAGCACCAAAGAGTCTCATATAGCAAAAGGCATGGTTTAGGCTGAATACCCCAAATGGATTTGCACAAGCTACGAACAGTATCCAGTCTAGGATCTAAGACTCACAGCAAATTCTACCAATATTTCAAAAAGGAGTTGACATCAAAATGTTACTTAAACACTAAGTACAAACTCCTCCACAAAATGCAGAGACAAGTTTCTTTGCTAAATGACATCTGCTTCCTTGCTTATGGTGCTGACAGTGCACAACAGCACAGCAAGGAGTTCAACTCGTTTAAAGTGAAAGTGGAGAAAAAAGGTTAATCACCATATAATGGGAGATCCAATCTCCTCACACACGTTTCTACCTTCATTTCCAGCAGCATTCTGAAAAACACCTGCTATGCTGATGCAATGTGATCCACTCCTAATTGTAGCTCCTTCCATCTATTAAGTGCGCTGGTGCTGCCAATGCAGCTCTGGGAGGAAAGGTGTTTAGCCTTCTACCTCCAAGGATGCTCCCATCCGTATATTTTCTTTAAACTGTACTCCTTTACAATGCAGGCATCGTTAACCAACTGCATTAGACTTATAATACCTCTCTCAACTTGCTTATCTCACAAACTCAAATGCAACCCATTAACCCTTATCGGTAGCTGGTAAAGTTGAAGGCTAATTGACAAGTTGAAGTGCCAACAGTCTCCCATTTCAGGTATGTCATGCAGGATTTAACCTTCATCTTTGTTCAGGTGATCTCCACAAGCCTTTAAGAAGAGAATCAGCTATAAAGAACCCAAGCAATCCAGTGCTGTTCAAGGATAAGAACTGTTTAACAAATGAAAAATCCTCTTCAATTTCTTACCAATTCATTTCATCTAGCTGTGATGCCTACAAAGAAAAGGTGACAAAGGTTAGGCCTCTGGCTTGCTGAGATGACGGCTACAGTGCTGACCAACACCCTACTGATCTGCTTTTTCTTGCATTAGACTTAGGCGGTAAGATCTCTGGGACAGGCAACTTCCGGGTGCTTTAACACCGAACAAAAAGCACAAACAGCAGGGTTCTAGTCCATGACGGGGCCCCTACACCATGGGAATACAAATCAACAGTAATTTGTTGGTTTTCAAAGCCAAACAACTGGCCAGGAATCAGTCTGCCATGCCTACTACGCACAGCTTCCGCTTAAAGTCAATATGTCTGTATATTGCTTTTACTTTTTTTTTTTTTTTTGGGGGGGGGGGGGGGG